TGGGAAAAGTGGTCCTCCCCGCCAGGAGGGGGCGCTGCACGCCAGGGACACAAGCCTCCATCCTCTTCTCCCTGGATTCAGAGTCCCAGCTGCTTCGCCTGCAGGGCGTCCCGCTCCAGGAGCAGCAGGCTGGGGGGTGGGGGGCCTCTGAGAGCTCAGCCTCTGGGTCTCAGGGACCTGGGGGATTCAACCTGGGCTCCGCCCTAAACAGCGACTGACCTCAGAGGAGGTTCTCTAATCTTCTCTTCACCTCAGTGTCCTCATCTGCAAGTGCGGACGCAATGAACTGATTAATTTGATTAACGAATTGATCTCTTGAGGCTCTTGGGAGGAAAAAGGATGCAGCAGACAAAGCACTAAGCACGGCGCCTAGCACACTTTAAGCTCTCACTAAAGGTCAGAAACGGCTGTTATCGTGATTATACAGGACTGGGTCTGAATAGAAATGGAGCCGTACATGACATGGCGATGTTAAAGTCATTGTCATTAATAAATGCAAGAGATGCTTGTCCTCTCCAACTCATGCTATAAATACAACTTGAAAAATTATTTGTTTTGGTTGTTTCTTCCACGCTGTGCTGTCACACTCTGAGAATGTGCTCACTGTGATACTGTCATTAGAACTTACTGCCCAGAGTGGCACAGAAGGTGGCACCTTTCAAAGAAAGCCACCGCGTATTCTGAAAACTTAGATGGGGTTAAACCACATTCTCTTTCATTCTCAATTCTAATCTTGGGGAAGAAACAACACGCCACCTTCTCAGAAACCCTCAATATAAGGTTTAGTTGCAATTTCCTCTCAGAAACAGAAGCAGTCCCATTCTCAAGCTCAGAAGTTCCGCAAAACAAATGTAGAAGTGTTCTAGTGTCTTGTGCAAATTCGATGTTAAAAAAGTCTTAGCTGTGGGGCCAGCCCTGCAACGCAAGCGGTTAAGTACTGGCGCTCCGCTCCGGATCCTGGCCACGCACCAACTCACCGCTTGTGGAGCCAGGCTGTGGCGGTGTCCCATATAAAGTAGAGGAAGATGGGTATGGATGTTAGCCCAGGGCCAGTCTTCCTCAGCAAAAAGAGGAGGATTGGCAGATGTTAGCTCAGGGCCGATCTTCCTGACAAAAAAAAAAAGTCTCAGCTGAGCCAGGAGAGCCAGAAGGAGAAGGCTGCTTTATGGACAAGTGAACATGTCTAAGGCATAAGCTGGAGGAGAGAACAGAAATGCCTTCATATCACCTGAGATGGCGCATTCGTTTCCAGGCAGGGAAATGCCGAACTGTGGGCATCAGACACACATCTGCCCGCAAAGAGGCAAGGGAGAGGTTAGCTGGACTGGCCGAGAGCTGTGAAATCAAGGAGGGTCACGTTCTGGGTGTGTTCATCATATCAGGCCTTTTATCTTCTGCTCTTTGCACATAATTGGTCTTTCCTTGGTGTCACACAAATGGGACATCAAAACAGTTTACAATGTTGGTAACAGAATTGTTCCCTGGAAAACATAAAATGCACACTATCGTCCAAGCGTGAAGTATCACCTGGCTCCTCAAAGATTTATTTGTTAAATCAAGGTTAAATTTAGGTTGCACCATAAAACAACTGTTTCAGGCTTTGCTTCTTTTCGTTTCTAATATTTTTACTCCTATGGAGCAGCAACGGCCTCTAAATAGTTTTTCAAACATTTTTCAGGTTTCAGTACTTAGAAATGGCATCTGTGCCTGGTTGATGTAATCTGGCTCTTAAACATTAGTTTCTGTAGCAACATGAATGATCAAGTCAAACCTTCCTCATTTTTTAAGAAAACCACTAAGCTCACAAATGTTTTACTAATGGGTAGAAGTTTCAACATCCTTCTACGGTCGCTGCGATGATTCATCTCACAATAGTGATCTTGAGGAATGAAAATATTTTGTCTATTTTCATCATAATTAAAATATTTAATGGGAAATAATCATTTATTTTATATAACATCCACTTTAAAGTTAACAATCAAAACTAACATGGCTCAAGTCATTCAACCAACATTTACTGAGTACCTACTACATACTCAACGTTATTTTAGGCATTAGCTATCAAAAGTCTACTCCTTACACTTGAGAGGCTCACAGCCTATGAGATGGGATGCATGAGGAGTAACGGATTCAAGGGTCTAGAGATCTAAATTTGGCAACTAATTCAGCCTCTCAGAGCTCTGGATGAGAAGACCACCCGGGATGATCACAGATTCTATAGCTGCTTGTTGGACTCTGCTTTGGCCCGGGCCTGGAGTCAGCAGCCTAGGTTTTAGCAGGATGAGGACACCAAGAGGTATAGATAAAAGGGAGATTGCAGTGCCCTAATTTAAAGGCCTCTAGTAAGATGAAATTATCATGCATTCCACATGTTAGCAGGCCAGAGTAACCAAAGCTAAGGCTACTGAGCCCTTGCTCTGTGCCAGGTACTCGATAAGCACTTAAGTGCATTATTGTGATTCATCCTTTCCCACAACCATTATGATCCCATTTTACAAATGGGAAAACTGAAGCTGAGGCTAAGGTACTTCAGCAAAATCATGGGGCCCTAACCAGTTGAGTCAGAATTTGAAACTAGACGTTTTTGGCTCCAGAGTTCAGACTCAACCATCACTTAGTAACTATCAAGCTTGTTAATATCTGCCGAGTGCCTCCATGAGCTACCCATTGTACCTGTCAGAGGTTCTATCGATTCTGGCCCAATCACTTTTTCTTTAGAAAGTGGAGCTTTTCTCTATGGCATGTACAGAGCATGGTGATCTTACTACACCTACTGTTTAAGAGGACTCAAGTCTTGGAGCCCAGTCCTTCTGATGGGTTCAAGAGTGAGGGACTCAGCCCAGATATGAGCAGAGAGGCAGCCAAGATGCTGAGCATCTTGGTGGTTACTAACAGTGTTGTAATAGCACACAGCTATTTCCAATTGTACATAATCAGATAATATCTTGGAAGTAATTAACAATCATGACCCTTTTAATAACGGAGAGACTGAAGACAGCAAGGCGTTGGGCCATTTTCCTCAAGAACTTGTGAGGACCATGGACAAGGCGCCGTAAGTGGATGCACAGATTCCTGCATTCGGGGCCTCTAAATCCACCACTCGGGGCTGAGGTGGACACTTAAACCATAAAAGCAGAGACAACCGATCCAGCCCTAGACCCCGTTAGGACCCCAGAGACCACCTTGTGATCCATCCCTCCACTCAGCGTAGGAGACTCAGAGAATAAACAGGGGCAACTTTAAAAACCATCCACAATTTCCCCAAACGTTTGATTGTATAAATAATTTATTTCTGTTCACAGCATCATATATGCATATAAAAGGAACGGAAACAGAAGAGGAGGAGGATCAGGACAGAGCATCACAGCAGTAGGAACGAAAACTGAAACCAGAAGACATAGTCCCAACACCATGACAGAGAATTTGTGAAGAGAATTGTCCTGAAACAAAACCGGCCTCCCTGTACCTACGAGAAAACATTTCAAAAGCTCATACGGGGAGGCCAACTTCTTCTATATGAAACCCATTCATTCTCCAAAGGCAGGAGGCATAATGAACCACTGACTACTATGTTGGAGGGGCCTCCCCCAGGGTGACCCCTCCAAGGTGGTTTGATCTGTGCTTCCTCTGGTCAGAGACAAAATGGGCAATTATTAGGTCAAACATTACAGAAATCAACTGAGACTCTTAACTAGTAGCTGATACACCACAGAGCTTTACTTTACTGCACAATTACTAACAGTCGACTGCACCCTTAAGTATCGATAATGCAAAAAACAGAATCCTTTTGCATCATTTGTAAAGCATCACAGGATTTGAACAGTGATCTTGAACCTAAGTATTGTTAGCACGAGAAGGTTACAGTATTTGGCATCTGCAATGTCACAAAATAAATATATTATTCTCTCAATAGTGTGGAACTACCAAAATGTCAAAGTGCTTAAGAAATTGTCGCATGTGAAGAAAATAAAGAAGATGGATTTTTTTTTTAATAATTCTATACAGAATCTTCAGATGATGGGACCAGCCCATTTAGAAATCAGTGAATATGCTGTCGATATGTAAACTGAAATCCTGCAGGCTTTTCAACACTGCTTAGCTAGATTTTTCTCTACTGAGTTTCTACAAAAAGACCAGCTTTGGAGGGGTAGCAAATACACTGACAAAAGAGAAAAGAAAGATGGGCTGCTAGTTTTCTTCTTTTAAAATATTTCTTAGAAGAATTGAGTTTCAAGCAGGAAGCCAGGACTTCTATCTCTGGTTCTTAAATTACCTTTCTGAGTGCAATGGACAAAAGGCATGGATTTATAATTTGACTAATTCACATGCTCAAGCATGATCATGCCAATTTCTAGAGGCCTCCTTCATAAAGAAATTTATAACAGCAGGGGAAAAAGCCTCATTCTGCCTGTAAACATGGATTCAGAGGAAATAAAAATCAAACAGTAAGTTTAAGTGTCCCTTTTGATACAATGTTTCAGGGTAAATGACAGCTTCTGCAAACAAAGACTCAGTCCTGATTATAAAGGATTTTTTTAATTACATTATTAAAAATATGTATTTATTCTACTTTCACTTTATCTATGTTTCCAAAGCCTCTTTCAAGTAAACGGGGAGGTGCCTGAGTACAGGTGACCATTACATCACGCTGCTTTCCTTTATCCCATGCACTCATTGTTTGCAATTGCTACGCAGCCAGTTCCCACAAGAATGAATTAGGAAAGACCTCATCCTTGTGTGTTTCTTTTGCTTTAAAATCCATGCAACGAGGTCGGCTTTTGCAACAAGGTGGGTTTTATTTTTTGATGCATGAACATCAAATACTCTAACGAGACATTTGTAATGAAATACTTAAACCAGATAGGCCACAATGAACCAAATTAGAAATTTGAACATGTCGCCACTCGCAGCGTAAAGGGATCTAAAAGGGCAGAGCAAAGTCTTTTTTCCTAAGGTGAATATTTTTAAGGTGAGTATTCATCTGTAGAAGGATTTTTTGTAAAACGTCTGAAAACCAAAACCCATCATCAGGCGGTTAGTATGACAAGACACATCCCTTGCAAAAACCATCTTGCCATTCAGCACACATCTGCAGCTGGTGTGGGCTCACACAAACCAGTCAGTAGGCTAAGAGAACTTAAGATTCCGCACACATTGGTCTAGGTATTTATGCCGATTACACAGTACAGAGGGAGGTCCCGGTATCTACACACACACCCCATCCAGCATTTACGCCAAGAGCCTTACCCTTTAAACACCTTTAACTATCCTGCAGACAGTAAATGCATCATTTGCCACCACCTCCAACAGTTTTTTTTTTTAATTTTTATTGGTCTCTTTGTGTGATAATGACCTACACATGGACAGGGTCCAAACCATCTGGAAGATGTCTCATTCCAGGCTGAAAAGCAGTTCTCAACAAAACTGGTCTTCCGTAGCCACCACAAAGCACCAGGAAAGGGCATCTTCGCAGCCATTCCCCAGCCAAGGCTGGCACACGGCCTCATGCCCTCAGGCTGTGTATTGTTCCAGGCAGTCCTCTGCCGGCCCAAACCACCACCTCGTTTGGGCCCAGAGCAGGACAAACGAATTTTCAACAGGGGCCTGCCCTGTGACATAAAATTATCCAGCTTCCACAGCTCATCCATGCAGGGAGCGGCTGTCCCCCCAGCACCGCCCACTGCCAACATGCTCCCGGATGGGTTCTGGGAACTGCATACCTCAGGTAACTCACAGGTGCGTTCCCAGTGAGGGCGGGGCAGCCTGAGCTTCTGGCCCTGCCGGAGTGGGAAGAAATCGCTTTTGTCTCTGACATCTGAGCCTTCCACCTGGACCGGGAGGGCGGACAGCAGGACCTGAACGTCCACTTCCCAGCGCTGCCCCTCACCCCATTAGTAGCTCCGGCGTTCAGACAAAAGGTCCCGCGAGCTGGGGGCGGGGGCAGGTCGAGGGCAGGCTGGCAAGTCAGCCTACATACCCAGGTTAAGTCACTAGTCCTGCATTTGGGTGCAGAGATTCCGCTTTAAAAATTCGAAGCATCGCTTTGGTTCGCCGTCTTTGTTCGCGGGCGCGGGTTCTCGCTCCTCCATCCATCCATCCGCCCCTCCACCCATTCATTCATTGCTGACTCCTCGCTCGCTCTCCCCTGGCTCCCGAACGCTGCCGGGCGCATTACCGCTTCTTCTTCTGCTTGAGGGATTTCCTGCGTTTCAGGATCATCTCATAGAGCTTGTCCATGCCCTCGGTGAGGCCCTCGCCGATGATGGCGCACGCCGGCTGGACGTGGTAGGTGGTGGCCGGGATGAGCTCGTGCAGCGCCAGCTGCTTCTCGATCTCGGCCACCGGCAGCGACTTGGGCAGGTCCTGCTTGTTGGCGATGACCAGCAGCGGCGTGCCCTGGTTCTCGGCGAACTTGGTCACCTTGTGCAGCTCTGTCTTGGCCTCCTCCAGCCGGTCCACGTCCACCGAGTCCACCACGTAGATGATGCCGTCCGTGCAGCGGCTGTAGGACTTCCAAAGCGGCCGCAGCTTCTCCTGGCCGCCCACGTCCCAGAAGTGGCAGCTGATGCCCTTGGCTGTGCCGTTGCTCAGCTTGATCTTCTCCGTGTTGAAGCCGATGGTGGGCACCGTGTTCACGAACTCGTTGAACTTGAGCCGGTAGAGCACCGTGGTCTTGCCGGCCGAGTCCAAGCCCAGCATGACGATGTGCAGGGACTGGAAGGCCGAGATGTTGGAGGAGATGTTGCCCATGGCTCCTCGCTGCGGCGCGGGCCACTGCGGCTGCGGCGGGAGGGCGCCGCCCCCCGCAGTTCCGAGCCCGACGAGGCCGGGCGCACCTGGGCTCCG